TGACAGAACGCCGCGCGATTAACGTTGCAGTGGGGTTCCCGGAGACCACCTAACAGTATGGTGTGGAAAAGAGCCCTTTGGATCATGGCGGCGGCCGTGGCACGGCTTTTCGTCGTTGTCGTCATTGGAAATTGAGCGGCTTCTACCGTGACATGTCTGGACCTGTGACTGAAGGAGTGGCATGACGAACAGATCATGACCCAAGGTGAGAGTATAAGACAGGAGGTCTGGACCTTTGGAGGCTTGCCCAGCTGAAGACACTGACCTGACATTTGTGCTCAGTATCTCCTCGGTGTGAGGTTGTGGTGTTTGCCGCGACATTATGATATTTTTGTCGTTGCCCGTGTTAGGTAGCTTATCAGTGCTAGGTGGTGCAGTGCAACTGACAAAAGGGCCCCGGGAGACTGGTTCCAAACATGTGGTGCTTCTGGTGATCGACAGCGCCTTTTCAGCTCCGGAGCAAGCTTCCTGATCTGCACCGTAGCATCTGATTGCAAGACTTCGGGGCTGACCATGGCCCATGGGGGCCATTTCAGCTTGGTGTTTCTGTTTGGTGATCACCTCTGGCAAATCCGACTGGATCAGGGGTGAGTGTCATTGCCAGAGGAAGCGAGTTTGGGACCAGACGCTGTTGATGTAAAAGGGGTCACCGCGCTATTTTGCCTGCTTATACGATGGATACGGTAATACCCGTCAGCGCCAATCAGAGCCAGAATCAAGGGCCAACTTCATCACTTGTCCTTTGTAAATTCTGGCACAAAGAGGAATGGAAACGAGAAAGGTACTTTGGGGAGTTAATTTGTTGAGCTATATGTTCAGGGACGGCGAGGGTAAGATATAGTTGTAGCCGCTGGGTCTGTGTAACGCTTCTTGGAAGCCAAAGAAGGGCTCAAGGTCGCATTCAGTCAGCATGATCCCGGCCAACGTGGACCTCTCCAGAGTTCTCCAGAGAATGGCTCAAGTGTTGTATCGCGAGTTCCTGTGCCGCTTGTTGTAAACACTTGCAATGCCTCTTCATGGTGGAGACACCGCTTTACCCCCGAAAACGGCTATGTCTGGACCTTGTGCCAGCGGCTACGAGAACACGTCACCACCGTTATGGTTAGGTTCTTACATGGCTTGCGGCTTAAAGACAGATCTGAACAACATCACACTCGGACATTTGTCATCTTCAATGACGGGTGTCACTTGTTGTGCATGTCAGCACTTTGTGTGCTTGGAGAGTGTTTTCCGGACTGAACATGAAGATAAAGGAGGGTACGCTCGTGGCATTAATGAACCTAAACTACACTTTGAAGAGTCAAATATGCCAGTTTGTCTATATTTCGGAGGCAAATGTGAAGATTGACGTTTGTTTACATGGTGATGGTCCGGGCGGTGGCAAACAGTTCAGGGGCAAAGCAGCCCCTGAACGCACGAGCCACCTCAACTGTTGATATTGGATAGCAACAGAAGACTCTACTCATATACATGATAGAAACACTCTAATCCTCGTGATATTTTCTCTTCCAATGTACAGAACAGCCCCAGTTCCCTGAATTGCTGTCTGCGGTGGGCAACATGTCTCTCCTGCTCTCCACCGTGCTCAGGTTCACGGAGAAGACTGTGTCCTCAGCTGAAGGCCAAACACCCAAAAGAGCAGAAAGTGAACTCTTCTAGAAGATGGAGCAGCGGGTCCTTGTTGGTCCTTCTGTTGGCTCCATAAGGTAGTTTGTATGTGAGGTAGGTAGCGAACAAGTCTTGTGCAGCCGCTCCCAGCGCCACTCTACAGTCCGCAACTCTGATCAACAGGTTGATAGTAACGAGTCAAATATATGGACTGCGTTGACGAACCTTTCGTCAGTCACAATGTACTCTGCCACCTCCACGGAGAGCTGGACTCCAAGAGCCACTGTTTCTTGTGAACACTCTTTCAGAGCCGCAATGTCTCGACAGATACCTTGGGAACCCTCCGGGCCTTCTACGGCTTGACTGCGGCTGGCAGGCGGGTCCGCAGCTGATGATGGAGGCACCGCAGGACGACTAAGCATGGCGACTAAGCGGTTCACACACACTTATTTGTTTTGAGATCTTGGGACTTCTCGAAAAACGCTTCTGAACTGTTCATTGGCGTTCACAGCTGCTTCTGTAAGTCTTGATGTTGCTCGAGCAAACCAACCTCAACCGCTAACCAGGCGCTCGCACGGCATCGCAGTTACCGCTCACAGACGATGGAGAAGAAGGAGAAGAAAGAAGATGGGGCGCTCGCCGGCCTCATCTTGGAGAGGAAGATCCCACGCCGGAGCCACGGTAAGTCAAGACTGTCGAGCAACTCGGCCGTTTTGCGACTGACTACTCGAAATTCACCTTTGTGCTCGACTTTATTCACTTGTTTGCTTACTTGAGAGCAAAAAAAGGTCGAAGAAATCAACTTGACTGGAGTTTTCTAACAACAAATGTCGATAGATACCTTTGCTTCGAACCTCGGGCGCAAGGTGTCGCCCTCTGCGACCCCCCAGGCGGTGGCCAAAGGCCACAAATCCGTCAAGAGCCTGGCGACCTTTTTCGAGGAGGGTGCTGCTCCTGCTGCCACCACCGTTCCCTCCTCCTCCTCCTCCAACCCCTCCAACCTCCCCGTCGCCACCAGCTCGTCCGTCTTCGCTCCCTCCCCCTCCTCCAAACCAAAGCTGCTCCGGGACCCCCACGAGCCCGACGACAACGACCTCACCCTGCTTGATTACAAGCAGTTCATGGCGAACCTTCCGCTGGGTCGTTGCCTCGACGACCTGGAGTCGCCCACCAGGGCGGCGGCAAGCAGCAGCTGCCAACTCCACCCCGAGGCCCCCAATTCCCAGCACGCCCAAGAGGCCAAAAACGTTTTGGCAACCCTGGACAGACTCTTCCCGCCTCTCCCCCCCCTCGGCGACTCGCCGGTCCCAGCAAGCGACCCCGAGCCGTCGTCCGCCGCCGGCCTGGAGCTTGCTCCTGAGCCTGAGCGCACCCAAGAACGGGCGAAAGCCTATCGGGATGCCACCAGACGAGTGCCGAGCATCGACTGGGACGAAATCGAAGAGGATGATATTTTCCGTCCCCCCAGTTTTGTTCTCCTGCCGCCGCCGCCTTCTCCCCGCCCGGCTTTCTCCCCGTCGTCGCCGCTTCTTCAGCCGGTCGCTGAAGAGCAAGAAGACGAGTCCAATGAGTCTCATAACTCGTACCAACAGGACGAGCAAGACCAGCAACGGCGGTCTCGAGAGTACCAGCCAAAAGAGCGGTACCATCAAGCTGAGGAGCAGCAGCACCAGTACGAAAAGTACCAGCCGGCCAAAGAGCAGCAAAAGTACCAGCCAAACGAGCGGCACCAGCCAGAGCAGCCCCACCAAAACGCCTCTCCCCCCTCCCTCATCGGTAAGCTAGCCCTGCTGTCCCTGGCGGACTCTCCTGCAACCCCCCCTCCTTCACCCCATCGTCCTCCCCCGATGCCGACTCGCACTCCTCCGCCACTACCACCGAGTTACCCCCCTCCTCCTATCCCTTCCATCACCCCTCCCGTTTTTCTCTCCTCTTTTCCCGCTCCCCCTCCCGCTCCCCCGCAACAGGAGCGCTGGCCCCCTCCAGGAGCAGCAACCCGGCATCATGAACGAAAGAGGGAGGAGTTTATGAAGAAGTATACAGAGTATATGAATAGTCGGTACAATCCTGAGTCGGGGAATTATACGGGGCCGGAGGTGCGGAGGGTTATGGGTCCCGAGAATGAGGAGAAGGAGGAGGAGAAGAAGGAGGAGAAGAAGGAAAAGAAGCTCGATGAGGGCAATGGGAAGGCCTCCGACATGTTCGGATAGGCGTCAAAAGATAAGCCGGGACGCGTTCTTTTATGTTTGAGAGGCCTGTTTTCTTTCGTTTGAGGCATCAAAAGATTGGTTGGGAGGCATCAAATCATGCCTGATAGGCCTCTGTTTACACTTGTTTGAGGCGTCGTTTTATGTTTGGGGGGGGAGGCCTATTCGACATTTTTGAAGGCCTAATTTTCATCTGTTCTACGCATATCCGGGGTTAATGGAGGCGTCAAAGGATGTCTGGGAGGCCTAGTTGCATTCGTTTTAGGCGTTGATACCGGAGGGACAGGCATATTTGCATTGGTTGGAGGCGTTTGTCGGGATAGATGTGTGGAAAAGGGGGGGGGGGGCGTATTTTTGCTTGTAATGATACCCCAACGCTCAAATATCAAGAGCTTGTTTGTTTCTGTTGCTGTCAACATCTGACCCCTTGGACTGCGTGAGAAATGCTGTGAACATGTCTTTCATTAATATCTATCCAAGCACTTGTGACCAGCCATCCAAGCATTCGGTGTTATTGTTTCGAGCTTGTTGTGTCCATTTCAAGCTGGGATGGAAAGAATCAAAAGCTAGCGATGAGGTAATTCAAAGCTGGGATTTCCATCTCTTTGTGATTCAAAATTTTTCGCAATCAACTTTACTAAAAAGCCCCAATATATCTTGAAAGTCAAGTATAAACAAGGCTCTAATCATCATATATACATCTGAAATAATATACACCCCCCAACATCTTTGTACTCTCTCATACAAGTACATATACACTCCCACCCCCTTTTCTTTTTTTTTTCTTTTTTTTTTTTTAAAACGTCGCCTCCCCCACAATGCCCTCCACCAACCTCATCTTCCCCCTCATAATATTCACATCTAACATCTCCATAAACACAAACTCATTCTTTACTAACCAACTATCTCTTCCCTATTCACCCCCAACCATTCCTCTATTTCTATCATTCAAAAACCTCAATAACTCAACACAATTCTCAAACAACTCCAACATCATATCAAAAATATACTTATAATCTTAAAATCTTATTACCT